ACACTTGTAGCATGTCCACATATTCATCATTAGTAAAATTTGGCATAATTCTTGTTAATTTACACCCAAAAAGTATTTAGCTGATAACAGTGACAACTTACAGAAGAGTTAATTGTGACAACTGGCATGACAGCAGCACACTTAGTTTTTCTTTGATTGATTGCAATCATATACGGTGTGAGGTGAATGGTAATACATTTTATTTTTTTATTAATAAACGAAAAGTTTTAAAGGAAAATTGCTAGAGAGGTAAAAGTTTCTAAAAGAATCAGTTTATCTAATGCGTATTTTTGGATATCGAATTTTTACGAAATATAAAAGTTATGGCAAAAAATGTTTTGAGGGGTGGTTATTTCAATCCCTTTCGAGGGGCTAAAATTTTCGAAAAACAGTTGAAATCTCGCATCTGTATTAGTAAACAAACTGTAAAAAATTTGTTATCTGTACCTCGTTCAGTTTTCAAATTACAGCCGATTTTCATAATTTTTTTGGAAACTCTGATGGCCCATATCTCTTCAGGGGTGAACATTTTACTAAGGCGATTTTTTGCAGATCGTGTTCTTTTGAAATGTAGATTCACTGGTATCATTTATGCTACTCCATTNTGCAGTACTTGAAGAGTTTGACGAAAATCGTCAGACTAGTACGAGAAAAACAGCAATGCACTTAAATGTGTCCCATAGTGTTGTTTGGAATATTGTCCATGATAATTTATTATATCCTTTTCACTACCGGCCAGTTCAAACTCTACTTGAACCAGACATGCACAAGCCAGTTGTTTTTTACGAATCGTATCTTAATATTCTAAGAAATAATTTGAATTTTGCCTCAAAGATACTTTTCACAGATGAAGCAACTTTTCAAAGATATGGTTTATAGACCGGGAGATATTAGACTGAAGTTCGACGACGTCTTTCTCGTTTATGCCTCTGAGAGTACTGAAAGGTAACCGAGAGACAAGTACAATAAACNGTAACTGGTGACTTGCGCATCCCAGGCTGCATAGCCGCACTACCCTACCCAACCATACCACACATAAACATTACACCACCACCGGGGGTTTACAGAGACGAGCCGGCGAAACAAGAAGAGCGCCAGAAGAAAGGGCCCTAGCGGGGCCCAGCCAGGACAAAAGGAGGTCCGACAAAGCGCCTACACCAGCCGCATTTGCGGTCGGGGTAGACGACGGATGGGGCCCACCTACGAAGGCTGTCCAGGCCTACACGAGATGAGGCAGGATAAAGAGGGATAATCCTCCTCGATCCCAAATCATTGAGGCCAATTTCTAGCCATGGAATAATGGCGCGGCGCGAACTAGTGACTCATTCATTCATGAGCGAATTCAGCTAACTCACCACGTCTTCATTGCTGGGCCCGTTGAGGTAATCATTGGAGGCTAGATCCGAGTAGGCGATGGCTACCGTACCCGTCCACATGGGGTGCCACACAGCATTGGCTATTTTCTTGCCTTTGCATAGCTTCACGTCCATGAACGACATGTATTCCTTGATACCATCTACAACCCCGGTTTGAGTCCACGTGCCGTTCTGGTCCATGGCCAGGGAAGTGTAATCGTCGGAATACAGATTTAACACACCGTTTACCTGAAAAAGGTTTGGTTATGGTCGATGTTCTGAATACGGTTTATATTCCAGCTGCAACATAAACCGTGTCCACTGTCCACCTAGTGCGCGTAAGTTCAATGTCTAGGTTAATAAAAGATATAACTTATTTTTTTTTCTACAGTGATGCCTACTTTCTCGAGCTGCACAAAATGAAAATATATTTGCATATTGAGTGTTTCCTTGGCAGGTACCAACTTATTTTTTTTTAATGGAAACCTTTGTTTTTTATGGTATTACCGAATTCTACGTGAAAAATTAACGGGACTTTGTGTTATGATCCCTATCAAAATATTGATAGTTTTCGAGATAATCGACTTTTAATTTTTTTGTCTAATGTTTCGTCACTTCTAGTAGTTGACTAATTATGATTGTATGACAGTTAGAATTTTTTTTTTAGGAACTGTAGAGTGAAGATGGCTCTTTCAAAAAACGTATCAAAAGTTGACTTGCGATATACAGGGGGCAAAAAAAATCGTGCCAAACCTGATAATTTAAAATTTGAAAAATCTCGACTTTTTCAAATAGAACACCCTGTGTTTTATAATTTCATTAGATGCCTTTCTGTAGACCCTACAATTTTTTAATAGCTTTCCCTATACCTAAGTTGCGTAGTTTTTGCAAAAAAAACATTTTTATGTAAAATACCGGATTTGCGCCCGTTCCTTTGTCGGGAAAAATATTGTAAGGGTATTTATTTTAAGTTAGCTTGCGACTATGAGTATTCTTTTTTCAAAATTCTATTCATCCAAATTTTTTAATCTCCAATTTCACTAATAACTTTCCTAACTACGGTAACAGTGCTTGATTTTCAATATGATACGGATGAAACTTCTTCAATATTTTATTTGTCAAGCTTTTGAAAACTCCAAGGTTACTACTAATTTCCTGGCACTAATATTTGGATTTTCAACAGCAGACGCCACAACTTTAAACTAAATATTATCGTTGTTACTTTCATGTCTCCTGGTAGTTTTCTCATAATTCGCATTTGCTGTTCATTCAAACCTTTCCTTCACATTTTCAAAACAGTGGGAATCTCTGTAAATTTGGATTATTTGCTTTGTAAATACGTGCTGCTAGCAAACATTTCCCATATTTTGCTAATTCTTAATCACTTGTAGCGATTTTATGGTTTTTTGATTTTATTTACAAATAAATGGTAACTTTCCATAAAGACTTATTTATTAAACTCAAATATCTAAATTTTTCAGTTATTAATTTTTATTTTAAATAGTGTAGCTAGACAACTAATAAAAATAAAAATAAATACCCTTACAATATTTTTCCCGACAAAGGAACGGGCGCAAATCCGGTATTTTACATAAAAATGGATTTTTTTGCAAAAACTACACAACTTAGGTATAGGGAAAACTATTAAAAAATCGTAGGGTCTACAGGAAGGCATCTAATGAAATCATAAAACACAGGGTGTTCTATTCGAAAAAGTCGAGATTTTTCAAGTTTTAAATTATCAGGTTTGGTACGATTTTTTTTGCCTCCTGTATATCGCAGGTCAGCTTTTGATACGTTTTTTGAAAGAGCCATCTTCACTCTACAGTTCCTGAAAATAAATAATTTCTAGCTGTCATGCAATCATAATTATGTCAACTACTAGAAGTGACGAAACATAAGGAAAAGAAATGAAAAGTCAATTATCTCGAAAACTATCAATATTTTTATGGGGATCATAACACAAAGTCCCGTTAATTTTTCACGTAGAATTCAATAATGCTATAAAAAATATAGGTTTCCAATTAAAAAAATGAAGTTGGTACCTGCCCAGGAAAAAAATTAAGTTATATCTTTTATTAACCTAGATATTGGACTTACGGTAGACACGGTGTATAGTAGGCAGCCAACCATAAATCAATCGAACTACAATTTTTACTACTTCTTAGTCTAGTAAAATAGTTTTATGTGTTTTCTGCATATAAATTGTAATGTGTCGTCCATTTCGCATATTGTTCCGATGTGTCGGTGAGTAGCACCGAGGGAATTGCGCAATTCCTTAACAAAAGTGTTGCTCCCATCGAATTAGAGTTTGAACAATTTTGCAATTGGCAAATTGCATTTAAGTGGTAAATTTACGGGTTTTTTCACTTTTTTACTGTCCACAAATATCTAGGTGACCTATAGAAATATAAGTATGTTGTAGGCAATTAAATTACCTACATTATTTTGCAAAAAGCGATGGATGTTGATGAAATTTATGGAAAATGCGGTCAATCCAATGACTAACACGTGTGACTGGGAAAGGGAGTATTTTGAATAAAATAAATCGGTTTTACAAAAAAACTTTTTGTTCCTATTTTTAATCTTCAAAAGTCCTGTTTACTTTGGAACTTTGTAAAATAGAGTAACAGAAAAATGTGAAAAACAAATCAGTTCTAGACAGCCAAGTTTATTACTTGTTTTTTTTTCTACGAAAACAGCACCATCTCTTGGATACGTCTTACGCTAATACGTAACGATTTTTATTTTAATACAATGTTGAGAATAAGTCATTGCCTTACTACCTTGAACCTAGGTACTACGGAGTAAATTGATACCCTTTCTTTGAACATATTTTTTTTTGTCGAATGATTAAAATCACTACTTACCGTTAGGATATCGGAGATATTCTCCATGTTCTCATTGGTATACTCCCTGATACTCTTGCTGCACTGCTCCAAAAGTTGTTTAGTATCCTCCACTTCGTAGAGGTACTGCGTGGCAGAGTTTGAGGGGTAGGTGCAGTTGGTCTGGGCCTCCGTCGAGATGTAGCGTGGCGCCACTTGTACGCTTGCGTCTATCCTCTTTTTATAGATCTAAAAATTAGAACACTAGGAACTGTAGCATGTTTTTATATACTCCGCGACACTATTTCGTTATCGGGGGATACATTAAAGGAGGTATATCGGGGTCCGAGGGAAGTGAGGAGCGCAGGGGGTCCTATGCTTTTCTTATGGGACTAAAACTCGCTACCAATTTGAAAAAATTAAATTCTGTTGAAATTATTTGCGATAAACATTATCTATACTGGGTGTAACGTAAAGGTTGGGAATAAATTAAACGGTGGATTATTTGGTTTAATAAATAATTTTTTCTCATATGAAGTTATGCTCTACGGGTTTTCTTTTCCAAGCTGCAGGGCGCTAAAAAGTTTCAAATAATTTTGTTTTTCTCCAATAAATTTCGAACATTATAAGATAATGGAACGAAATTTTAGCTTTAGCTTAATTTGATAATCCCCTAGTTACAGGAAAAAAATTGACTTTTTAAGTTACTCAGTGGCGCGCGTACGGATTGTACCATAATGTTTTTCGAAGAAAATTGTGGTACGCCACTGGTAAAAACATATTTTTAATATTTGTTTATGATCTACTTTTTATTTTAAACAAAATTACCCTCTTGCGTTTTATTTCTAGCTCTTGCAATTTTTCCGTAAATAAAACTTTTGTAAATACCATTTTACCCCACCGCTAACAGAGGAATATAAAAATAACAAAAGCGTTATGAAGTACGCTTTGACTCAGCCACCGAACATGGCCAAATAGGCATTGAAAAATGATTTTCGCATTGAAAATGATATTAAAAAACTAAATTTTTTAACACCCTGTAGCTTGGAAACGAAAACCCTTAGAGCATAATTTTATATGACAAATATTTATTTTTTAAAATAAAAAATCCAGTGTTTAATTTATTCCCAACCTTTATGTTTCACCCTGTATAGCAAAGAAATCTACTCATATGCACATGGCATACATATTGACTAATTAACAACGTAAAAATATCATATTTAAGTAGTTTTAAATTATATTTAATGAACGCATAAAGACTATGTAGATGTGGCTACAGCGCTAATAATTGACTAGCAGTTGTACACACTGCGAACCTACAGACCTCGGACATCGGAGATATTGCGCGTCAAATTCGGGTAAAGATGCGTACGCGTTCAAAAATGTATTGTGTGTAAACTATGTACAATATAATTATTATATATAGCAAATATATCGTATTATCCTCGCGAAGATTTGTATCCTTTATTTAAAATCCGTAAATCATGTGAACTGGTAAAACAACGAGAATTATGTTAATTTAGTTCTAAAGAAATGAAATGACACTCGCGCCCATCTCTCGTCCAAGTCAAAGAAAATGTTGGATGCAATTTTGAAGGTTCTGTGATAGAAATTACATTATTACTCACTGTTCGTGTTTTTAATCTCTATTTTAGTAATGTTACAAAAGTTTTGCAACTATAACTAATTTTTTAGATATAAAGTTTGCTGAGAAATATTTATGTTCCTTTGTTATTCCGTACAAATGCTTTTATCTCAAGTATTACTAATTATATTAATCAAGTAAAGAAAACTTTATGTAACCCTAAATATTGCTGGGTAATGATTACGATGTTTTTATAAACCATTAAATATATTAAAAGGATTTATCAACTGTATTTTTTATTCCAATAAATATATCACAGCTTCCTAGTCTTTTTTAATTAATCTAGTTTTTTAAAAACATTACAAAAAATCATCTGTTGTGGATAATTTATTGTTGATAACAATGTACATGGGATTTAGGAAAAATGTATATGTTTGAAATCAATTTCGTTTTTATCAAGTCTTTCAAATGTATTCCCTCCTTGCTGTCAGCTGATTGCGACGTTGCCACATTAATCCTCAAGTCAGACAGAAATGCAATTATTGGTTTCTGTTTCTAATTAATACAGCTATACTATGTTCAAAACTTACATTAGTTTTGCATCAAAAATAAGATAATACTGTGTACTATCTATGGAAAAGTTTTGTTTCACAATTTCTAAATTTTTTTCTCAGTTATGGTCAAAAAAAGAGCCGCACCGTGCATCTTCGCCATATAAACCTATGCTAAAATGAACAACTTTCAACAACAATATCTCAAAATCTAGATTCAAAAAATTTTTTTTAAAAAATATGACGTACCGAGGGAGCACTGGCTAATACGCTATATAAATTTCAAGTACATCTGTGCATTTGAGTAAACCCGATATACCTCCTTAAATACGGCGTTTTTTAATGTTTATACGTCAAAAAATAGTATCTGAGCTTCGGGAGGTGGCACTACTGAAACATTATTTAAAGAGAGGTTGCGACTTTAAGATCAAATATGAAACATTTTGACTTTTTTACGTAAATATAGGGAACTACTCTTTATTTATGCTAGGTTGAATACTGTTCGAGATAATTGCATTAAAAGATTGCAATACTGAAAATTCGCGCGAAGGATACAATGAACTGAACATTCGTTAAAAACTTACGTTGGTAAAAGTTTCTTCGGTGCTTCTCAGCTCCATGTACCCATCACGCCTCTGCTGAGCACGCACCAACTTAAACTGAGCCTTGTCGGGAAAGATGGGGTATCTAGTTTCAACCTCCACCTCTATCAACGGCCTGTTGTTCTTCATAATGGCTTCTTCCACCTCTCCTTCACATCCTTGCGTTACCCTGCAACATTTATGGAAGGGAGTAGCATCGGTCACGACTTCATTTTTTATTTCATAGAAATAAATATTTGATTTTAAAAAAATAAAATGATGTGAAGATGTTTAGATTGCAAAAACTCTGGATTATTAGAACGACATAAAGTCTATTGCCAAAGTGTGCCATGATTTCGTCAGTCTTTCTCTCAAGTGACGTCATCATATGCGCATAGACTCAATGCGACATATAAGGTAGACGAAGTAACTATTTTTCATAGCCTTAAACGGATAGCATCATAGTAGAAGAGCCATCAAAAGAAATAGAAGGCAGATTCTAACCATTGCTTCACAGTTTTGTTTATGGCATTGTTCAGTCGCTCCTCCTGTTCCTTTCTCATCTTTTCTATGATGGCCGTCACCTCGTCCGTGGCTTTCTCTGTGACGCAGATGTAGAACTCGTCGTAGTCACGTGACTCGTCCGGGACATAACCTAAAGATAAAGAGTACTTTTAGGTTATGTATAACCTCGAACTAAAATATGTCGCGTTACATTAGATCTTCCATGCTAACAAATAGATAAGGGTACCCAAGTCGTACTAAAATATCAAATAAATGTACTGTTCTCTAACCTATCAGTATTTTTGGTCTGGGAAAGGCGAGAACTTCCTTTTTTATGGGTAGGAATTCGGAACTCTCTTCGTGTAACTCTAAATTGTCCTGCACCAGCTCCTTGTCGACGTACGTCCATGGATTTTCCGTGGTGACGTCAACTCCTACGACGCAACTGAAAAAGAATAGTTTTTGTATACAGGGTGATTTCACCGTAAATACAGAAACTGCAGGATAGATTAGTTGCCAAAAAATAAGTAGATTCGAGTTTGCTTTGCTCTATAAACTTTTTTCCTGAGGGACGTGGTATTCGAGATACAGGGTGTACAAGTTTCCAAAAAAAATTATATTTTCCGTCATATCTTCATATAGTCCGGTCACTGAGGGTAAAATACGTCGTTACTGCATAATTTTCCCAAACAGCACCGATTTGCATCAAAATTTGGATTTAGGCTCTACTTACCCTCTACTTCAAAGTTGACCCTGTGCCGCGGGTTGCTTTTTATTTCTTAGGGGTGAAAACTACCCCTATTCTAAAATAATTATAGAATCGTACATTAGAGCGTGTAATAGATTGAAATCATCTTTAAATAAGTAACTATGATGAATTGAAAATTGTCAATCCCTAAAAACCACCCCCTATGGCAGTAATCAAATAGTAGTAGTAAAAAAATAATGTTGAAAAATATTATTCAGCTACTTGGAATAATTTAATCGTATAGTGATTTTAAATTAAGATTTATTTACTATTTCAATTTTTTATTATTTATTTTGTTATTATTTTATTATTATTTTTTTATTTATGCGGTCGATAGCCGCACGGTTTAAGGCCTCAGTACTTAAATCAAGGTGTGCTATCTGCCCGGGTTTCGAATCCCGCGGCCGGTAGACCGTAGATTAGCTATGCTTGTACGGATGATTGGCACCCTCTGTGCAGGTAGGGTAGGGTGGAAGAATGTTGGCTTGGGTCAATGTGAGAGATTGACAACGGATGGCATTTGACCACCCCCCTAATTAATGAAGTTTTCCCTCATTCCTGCATTGATGATGGTTAGGGCCTACCAACATATGTCGTTCCTGGGCGCAAATGCGGCCTACTTAATAATAATATGCCGCCTCCTCTCCCGCACAAGTCTCCGACTTCTGGGCTAATTCTCGTAGTTAGAATGAGGAGTAGAGATATTATTATTATTATTATCATATTTAAGAGCCAAAATA